AAACTGAGACCTATTTAAATTAGGAAAAACAATACATTATCTCTAACTTAAACTCAGCATGATTAGTTATGAGAATTGTTTCACCACTCATAAAAACAGAAACTTGCAAATTATTAGCTTTGCTTACTTCAATTCGATCTTATAATACAGAATTATTTTCTGAAAAAATCAAGAGACACGAAAAAGTATTTTACATCTAAAGAAAGCAATTATAATAATGCAGGCACTTAAACGAGAGCCTCGTGTAGAGAATTATCTGACAAATATTATTATATTCTACCACTAGCCGAATTCTTGCTCTCGTTACTGACATTTGTAATGGACAACACTGTTCAAACAACTCAGATATGAAAAATAGAAATATAAGCTGCAGATAACCAAACACTAACCTAAGAAAAGTTACGATATAAAGAAATTAAAGGCAGCACTAAAAGAGTATCTCCTACCTCACTCTTTCTACTCCATAGTAGAATTTACCTCTACTAAAAGTTCTCAGCTATTATATGTGCATGTAAGGAATAGTGGGTTTTCTTTATTGTGTAATTATTTTTGCGGTAATGCTGTACTCTGTTGTAAATCACCGGAGGAGGAGGAGAAGAAGAAGAAGACGAAGTAGAAGTAGTAGTAGTAGTATTGTGTTTGTGCTATGACATTTACTACATATTTGGTTTGGAGCTCTGAAGAATTTATGGAATGTCAAAGCTCATGGCCCCCTCTGTTCTCATCTCTGGCTATCCAGCGATGATATCAAGCCTGACGACACAGACTCGTAGGTGTCGGTGGTGCGGAATGCGGCTTTCAGTTAGTCATCAGCACTTTTGATAACACATTCAGTGTTAAACGAGGAGAGTGAGGAGTGTGAGTATCTCTCTTCAAACTGCCCCTCGTTTCTCGTGTACTGATCGCCTTCTTCATCAAATTTTCACAGACTAGGAGCGATGGACTGCTGGACAGGGTATGAGAGCCATGTCATCCACGTAACTTGCTAGCTAGACCTGGAGGTTGTAAGTGTATCGTTCACAAACCGACTGAAGAACAAAGGAAGACGAATCCACTCAGGGCCACCCCAGCCCGCATGTCCATGTGAATGTGGCTGACTGGAAGGGTGTTTGGAGGGTTAACTTATAATGGTTGCCTTTGACCCACACTGTGTAGAAGACTTTAACCACACCAGGAAATCCATGCCAGTTAGCTATTCTCGTCAAAGTTCCTGCTAAATCTTTCCACCAGACATGTCACCTGCATTATTGTGCTGTGTCTGGGTTTAAACCCAAACTGCTTTTCATACTGCAACCTACTCTCATTTGCAGTGCTCAAAGATTTCAGAGCACACAAGCTGCCACTTGGTCTTTCCAAAACTTGCTTCCTCCCTGCACCAACAGCCAAATGTTGCTTGACATCACTGGCGGGAGGTGGGGTTTGCTGTTGAAAGAAAGGGATACAAAATAGAATTGTGGAGATCAAGCTTCAAGGCCATACAAAACGAGGCAAAATTGTGGTTTTCAATAGTTTTATCTGACCATAAATCACATTTTCAGTTTTCATATACTGTTGGAACATTTCCCCAAACTAACACAGCAGTAATGTGATACAGATTTGCTCTACCTTTCTGAATCACTTCATTTTCAAATATCCATGTTGTTTTCATGTGACAGGTAATTTACAGAGTTCACTAATAATTTGAGATGGGTGCACATAAACAAGTTATTAATGTAGGCTCAGAGTGTTCTACAATGCAATATTATAATTTTAATATACATTCTTCCATTTAAAGCTCAACCCACCAACTACTACATATGAACCACTTCACAAAAAAATTGACAAGACCAATGGCAATATTGAATTTTTCCTGCTGTTGCAGTGATTGAAACTGGTGTGGCTGAAAGTTGTGTTGTTTTGTATCTCAACAGGAACTTGTCTCAAATAACACTAAGTTTCAATGTATGCCTTTATTGCCAAGTATAAGGACAGGGATGTTTCTGTATAACAGATGCTCAAAGGTTGCTACTCCATTCTCCTTCCTGCCACTCAGCAAGGGCAAAATATAATAAAATTACACATCCGGTTTCATAATTTTTTGCAGTTCAGTTATAAAGAATTGAATATCTTAACCCACACAGTGTATTATTATTAACTCCAAAGGTTTTAATTTCTATAAAGATGAAAATTATGTACAATACATTCACTTTCTTTGTGGGAAAACCATTTATATTGCAGTATAATAGTCTAACCTTTATGATATGGGAATTAAAGTAAAGCTGTCCCACTATGCACCATGTAGGCACTTGGGGGGAGAGCGGGTATAGCTCCTACTCATTCTTGACCTCGGCCCAAATGGGGGTGAGTGGTCAGCATCACGCCCCATTTTTTTTTAAACCATGATATGGGAATAGGGGATTAAAATTCCTGTATTACAGCTGGATCATACACAAGCCATGTCACACAGATGATAAAGGTTGAAGAGTTATTCCAGGTAAAATATATCAAAATTCTACTTCGATCTCCTTACCCAACATATCTCCTGACACACACATGCATGGACCTGCACACACAGAACTTAACCAAAAAAATTACCTAATCTGTTACAGGATTTGGTTTTGCTCATACCAGAACTTTACCTTTTTGATCTTATACCTAACCTAATTTAACCAAACCTGTAATTGAATTTAGCTACAGTGTACTTGAAATGAATAGCACATAAGAACATAACCCAACTTTTCACATGTACCTTAAGAGGAGTATAAGTTTGTTATCTACAGTCCACAGACCAGGAGAAAAGCCCTGCTAGTAATTCGATATACGCGCATGCGCAAGATTTCGCTGTGAGTAACGACTCATCCTAAAAGCATGCGTTCCCCAACCACTAAACGAACAACAGACGACAGGCTTTCATGTGTTCTAATGGGTACAGCTTTAAGATTACCTCACAGTGGCACAGTGATTTAATCTAGAATATTATCACAGAACACACTGTTTTATGTTTTCAGTCTGTGTAGTAGTGTAAAACTCTGACGTATCACAATTCCCACCAATAGCAGCACTTGATAGAAAATATTCCCCCTGCACTGCCCCAGAAACAACTTCCCCCCTCAGGGCTTTTCTCCTGGTCTGTGGACAGTAGTTCCTTTTAAATATAGGAATGCCCACACATATATGTTAATGTCATAGACAGTATTTTCAGATTGACACTCTGAAGGGAGGTTTTGCAAGTTCCACACAAGTCTTCATTACTGTTACTTCTTTTGGTTATATTAACATATTCACTGCCAAGTCAAAGTTTTCTCTTTATAAGAATGGCTTTAAGTACAGCCAATACTCGAAAACAGTGATTTGAAGTGCCACTTCTTTTAATCAAATAGCAGGAAATACATGTATTCAAGTTTCTTGAAGGGTAAATTAGTTGACTATACGCTACCAAGTGCCTAGTGCTTCTTTCTCTCATATTTTGGTTTCGTCTTCTTTAAATCTGTTGTGTAATTGTTTTGTCAAAGCGATAACCATTAAACTGAAGACTGAAATGTGGCAGCTGTTTATTGCTTCTGTACGAGGTCACAGCTAATCTCAGGTGCTCAGTATGTCCTTAGTCCATGGTCACGAGTTCCACCGAAGTATAGAAATGAAAGTGAAAAAACTAAGCAATAACAGAAGAAGACATTTCAGAAACAGTAAATGTCAGCATTTTTTTACATAATTTTTATCCCCAAATAAATTCATCAGAAGGAGATTATTCAAAATCATAAAATAATTTGGGTTAAGTGATATTTTCTATAAGAGTCTGTCATCTATGTATTACTTTTTAACAGAAGCATGTTCTACTTGTCTAAGTAATGTGACTGGTATATACAGTATCAACAGTTCACACAGTAGAAACTGCAGACGCCTTAAGGAAAAGGGTAGGCACATCAACCATGAAACAAAAGTGCATCATTTATTACAACACCTATATGAACAGCATGGGGTCCGCTGACCAGTAGCTTTTGTATTATAACATAATACAAAAGACAATAAAATGGCGAAAGAAAGTGTTCTTTTGTCTTCTTCAGGGTGTTCTCTTCAACTCCTACATCACATACTCTCAGCTAACCATTCCTGGGCTACAGACCTGATGTCAGTGACCCTCACGCAGTTTCGTCGCCCTTTGATTAGCCTGACATCTGACTGGTACTCAAGAAAGAAGCCACGGTGGTCTAGCGGTTAGAACGCTGTCCTTGTAATCCTGGGGTCTCGGGTTCGATTCCCGGCGGTGCCCGAATTTATAACTTGTGTTGGGCAAGGCCGTGGTCTAGGCAACACGGAGTTTTCCTCCGGGGGCTTCCCCGGTTTCTCCGTGGCATCCCAACAATTACTCCATTCACACACAGAAGAAGGCAATGGCAAACCACTTCTGGATCATCTGCCAAGAACGTATATGAACAGGTCCCAGTCCGAGAAAAGGATGGAAGGATCCTGTTCATATGGACCTGTCGCCAGACACAACACTAAATAAAATTTACTCAAGAAAGATTCAGAATATCAACCAGATGGGGAAAAATTAAGAACCACATACTCATTCACATCAATGGTGATACATATGTTTCAAGACATTCCAATTGTAAACTGTGCCTCAAAGAGAACACCAAGAGACAAGATTTCTGTGTGATGTTCGTCTGCACCCTGAAGGCTGCTATGCACAATACTTCACTCTGAAAGTCTACTAAAGCCACTCCATAAAATTTCTTTATTTTTCTTTACAGAAAATTGCAATATATATATATTCACACAGTTGAAAAACCCACCCCTTAGCATTAGGCATTTATACTGTAGAGTGAATTTAAATACCAGCAAAGAATATGTTAATCATGTGCGTTATTATAGTATTTCACATTTCAAGTTTCAAATAATTAAAATTTGTAGTTTTTGGTTAAAAACAACAATTGACATTAGGGATTAGATGCTAAATACTTTTTTCACATGGATTGCAATTACAATTAATTCTAATTTTACATTAATCAGAGACAAATTACAGTTCAACACACAGTACAGTGTTAATTTACTCACAAATAACTGCAATTCTTTGATGCAACAGAAACACACTACAGGCTGCAATGTTATTGGGATAATTTCTGCCAGTCACATACAGGTAACTCATCATATGTGGGGGATGCATTCATGCGAATCACTGTGTATATAAATAACTGGAAACATATAAATGCCCATAGATTTTCTGAGTGACACACCATGAGAAACCTTAATCTGTAGTCCCCAGAGTCTAAAAGGTAAGGGAAATCAATGAAACTGTGCATGGAACTCTATGGGTCTGTACAGCAGTTTCTATCATGGCCATACATAGAATATTGATGCTACTTAGATGAAGATTGCTGTCTTCTGGGTTCATCACCTTGATGATGGAGGCAAAAATGACCTCTGAAACGTCGGTAAACATCTACCAGACTACATTGTGCAACAACCCAGAAGACGGCAATCTTCAGACTCACCGTCGTGAAAACCTCAAATTCTACGCTACTCATGATACTGAGATAAAACCGTGGATAAGCAAAAAAAAAGGGGGGGATAGCAAAAGAGTGTACAATGACAATCTTAAAGGCCCCAAAATAATTGAAGCCCAACATGAATAAAATCAAAACATTTGTATAGTCGGCGCAGTGGTTTTTGGCTGGTGGAGAAGCTGGCGGACGGGCCTACTCTGTGTACCTGAGGTGGCACGGTCAGTGTATTTCTTTTGTTTGGGCGTTCAGTCCGATAAGCTCCTCGGTGCAGTCAGCATTATACTATCGCACAAACGACTCGCTCCTAGCCTTCCCCTTCAAAATTCCACCGGCCAAAAACTACTGCGCCAACTATAACTACAATGCTCATATACAGCAGTACCATTATATACAGTACTGAAGCTGCATAGCATATGGATACCACCTGTAATGGATTAATAGACAAAATGCAGAAAAGCTAGAAGGAATGTCAGAATTTCAACATAATATACTACATCTCTTATAGATAACTGAATCTCAGGCACATTTCACTGCTTTTGATGTCAGATTTATAGCACTTAAACAACCCGTTCATCAGCTCGCGCGCGGGTCCCAGCATCTCCTCCATTCCTCTCTATCACGTGCTCGGGTAGACCAGTGTCTGGTGGTATGACCATGTAAATTCCTGATGTTATACTCGACGGCAAGAGAGTCTGCCCAACGAGCAGGGGGCCGACCAAGCGGACCTCTATAAATCGGCCACAGATTTATAGAGGTTGTATATTATTATCCAAATTCAAATATATCTTGAGCTGATTCAGTCATTTCCTAACTTGTTTTATGAGGCTTTGGTCAAGATGTATAATAATCAAAGGATGATAAAAATGAAGTAGATGAGAAAGATAATCCTAACCGTATCATTGGAGTCACAGTGGTTACTTTTTAAATTCCACTGCTCCATTTCATCCTGCTTCATTTCCAAATGTAAAACATGCAGTTATTTATAGTAAATCTGCCAAAAATCTATACACAGTAGATGTTATGATTACTTATTATCATGAAGATTTTTGTCTTCTAGGTTGTTGCACTGTGTAGTCTGGTCGATTCATCGCCCTGATGACGGAGGCAGTATGTCCTCAGAAACGTTGGTAAACATCGACCAGATTACACAGCGCAACAACCCAGAAGACAGAAATCTTCATACTCACCGCTGTGAAAACCTCAAATCTTACTTATCATCATCTTTATGAAACAAGGAAAAATAACTAGTACTTTATTATTACTCTGTGCCATTAATTCAATTCATCTTTACAATTCCTACACTCACCTTGTGTTTGTGTGTGTATAACTCCCCTCCGATTCTTTGTGATAGCGTACAATGCATCATTGAATCAACAGTGAATATCCACTGATTATGAAATTAATTACAATTAGGCTAGATTAAGTGTGAAACAAAAGCTAAACTACAGGCAGAACAAATACCGAACTAACAAAGTAATGGAATAACAAGTAATAACAAGAAATACTGTGAGTGTCTCTTTGTAGAATATACATAAGATTCAAGTTTAAAACTTTCATTCTGTATAAACAAAGTGTAAGCTTTTGCAGGATTTTAACCCTTTTTTATAATAATAACATATGTTTACATTTTCTTAATTTCCATAAATGCCAGTGCATGTATGTTCCTTACTTGTAACTGAAGTAAAATGCAATACTTTTCTTGTAAGGTAACTCAAGATTTTTCTTGCAGTACTTCTGCTTCTCACATGCACTTAATGAACGAAATTAATTGTTCTGTAGAGACTGGTAGTATCCCGAAAGGACCTTCCAAGCTTTGGGTGCCATAAAACCATCAGGTGGTAGTTGACCAGATCTAGCCAAGCCTAGAAATAATGGAAGAAAAAAATAATAAATTTGTAAGATGTTTTGTTTTCAAGAAAGTTTCTACTGGCCAAGAAAATTAAGAATGGTATGTCATATATCTCAAATTGTAAAGTCAGAATTGCTTTGTTCCATTTTATTTTGAAAGAAACCCGTTGAAGCTTGGGACATATCAGCAAAATGCCTACAGAAATGCAGTACATAGATCCACTATTCATACTGACATCTTATCAATTAATTTGAAATCACTGTAGCTAAATGTGGTAAAAGAGATAGCTGAGACCAGACATTTTCTTCATTGCTATTATAGGTATGCTCTACGTAGTTTTAAAAATGTCAAAATGCACGGATTCTTTTGCAGATAAATTTCAACATGACAAAAATGTCAAAATGCACACATTCTTTTGCAGATAAATTTCAACATGAATTTTCTTTCTTAAGAAGACAGAACCACAAATAAACTTCAGCATATCCTTCATTTAACTTAAAATTTTACTATTCATACCTATGACAGTCATCAGGACACATGATTAGTTGGACTGTACGACCTACATTTATTAAGCTACGTTGGCATTAGCACACTATTGCTAACATGTGATACAGCAGGATACTCAATATTATACACTCTGTGCAACAAAAATCAAGCACTTGAAAATTTTCTAAGTCTCAAACCGAAAGTGACATAAGCATACAGCTGGCCTCATAATTCCAGTCATTCATAATCTCCTTACATTTGTCTGTATGTGGTTTTTATTAATATATAACTTCCATTAACTCCATTTCCTAGGCCAAAGGTGTTTTAAACAAAGATACCAATATGTCTGCCTAACTTGAAGAAAACCATGAATTAATGTTAATGACTTCTCCAAGTCCTCTGAAAGTAAAACAGAGGTGAAAGCTATATATCAGTTGGTTGTCCATATTATCTTGTAGATGAGCCAGTATGGTAGGGGACTGGCATTGATGCGAAGATCATGTCTTGCAAATCTACGCATACATACAGATTTAATTGGAATTTTAACTGTCTTAAAATGCTGCATGTTACAAAAGTTTTTATTGCATTTTAAACAAAATAAAAACTACTACTGATAATAATTAGGCATTATATACACAATTACTTTAGATTTCAGTCATTTTGATTTTTTTCCATATTTTGATCGATTATTCTTAGCATATAACCCATACTGCTTATTTATGGCAGCAAAAAGTCTCGGAGTTGACTGTACTTGCTGTATGAATGTTTGTACAGTCTGCCAAGCTTCACAGTGAAATTAAAACAATTTTTTTCTCAAAGTTCTTTCTTTGTTGGAGGTCTGATTAAATAACAGATTATCATCAATGAGTAGTTTCAAATAAGGAAAGTAAAATCAGCCTATGGCATACAGGTCCATATTTGGAATAAACCCCTTTAGCAGACACAAATCCCATAAATGATATATGCTTTGTCAAAAGATTATTTAAACTGTGACTCAATCTGCTCCAGCTGGTGTCAGAGGCAACAGCAATATAATTCATTGAATAAAAAGCTTTTGTTTCTATCACACGAAGTAAAGTTCATTCCCTCCCTCCAACGCAATGGAGTTCGTTTGAGAATTCTAATTAGCTTGGAATGTGAGAAGTGTGCAGTGTGAGTCAAAAGGAAAAGATTATGGGCTACTCATACAGAAAACTGCCAGTCTAAAAATAACTCTTACTACTACATTTTAAGTGGCTGTATCAAATATTTTTAAGGATGTAAAATAGGACTTCTGATCTTCAACACTGTTATTTTTGGAAAATAAATTTTAGTACTGACTTGCAATAACAAGTCAAAACAAAATTTATTCAACCAGAGGGGTGTTATTATGAGAATAAATAAAAACAGACAGTACTGCAAAATCTACCTAATCACTTGGATAAATTACAATGCTTACTGTGGAGGTTTAAAAATAAATATATTGTGTACAGCAGAATCCCTACTTAATTGATTTCCCTTATTTAAGGTGTATTTTCAGTAATTCCACATTAATAATCTCAGCATTAAGTCTCCTCCACATGTGAGTGTCTGTAGTGTAGTCTCCAAATTTATTGTCCCTCTGAGAAACCTTACATGGGGTCCACACTGCAATATATACAGACTTATAATTTTCAAATTACTTTTCCATATTTCAGTTCTCTAAATATGAACTGCTGAATTTGCATGTTGGCTTGTGGACTATAAATACATTACAAGAGTAGATAAAATTCTACAGATGGTTTTGTGAATAGAACTTAAGACTTACCTCTCATTTTTGTTCCAGAGATGAACTCAAAATCTTGTTTCCTCTGAGGATCAAAGAAGGCCATTTGGTTTACTGTCTTGTCATAAGCAGCAACCCTAAATGGAATGATCTCTAGTGTGTTCAGCCCAGGCGCCATGCTCAACACACGGGCTCCATGTGTGGCATCGTACAAATCACATTTCAAATCCTTGTCAGGGTGTGGCAGGCCTGCTGGGTCTCTTCCGACTATATAAAAGTTGGCACCTGCACACATGCGAGCTTTTGCATGCCACTGTACCTGTAATAATCAAATGCCACAATCCAGCGTCATAATAAGTAACGTTAATATAACATCAACATCATGTGTTGTTGCAAAGAGCTTTCTTTCTTGTAGTCTCCTCCTTTTCACTGCTAGCCGGTATGAGAAATCGAACCGTGTTAACTGTATAAACGAGGGGTCACCATACTGCTCTCGATAAAGCAGAAGCTTACAGTTTATTAGGGGCATTAGATGAATCTAACAAAAGAAGACAGTGCTAATTCAAATAATTAAATTACAAATAGCTACAAAACTTATATTCTCACACTAAGGTATCTAAAAAGGGAATTATTTTGCACATTCCATATAACAAAATTATACCTTATGAATAATGAATTATCTTCTTAGAAAATTATGCCATTATTTATAACGAAATCCATCAATTAATGTGACACCAACAATATTTTTAAAACTTCCACGACAGCACAAAAAATGTTCCAAGGGTACCAAACTGACTGTGGATATGTATTTTGCAATTGTATGTATACAATTACCAACAATTTTCACATAGAATACTCTGACATTTTAGAGGTGCTTACAAGTACCACTGAAATGTCGGTAAACAACCACTAGACAAATATCTTCATACTCACCACAACAGGAATCTTAAATCTCAATTTCCAGAAACCTCACCTCAGTAGGCCCAGCATACTGCATAGGTGAAGGAAAAATGGCAAGAAGAGTGTTCTGTGGGTCAAGGATTCCCTCCTCAAGAACAGCTTGATGCTGCTGCATGCGAACTGGCAGCGGTACATCATCATCTTTTGTCCATCCTCCTAGAGGATGAAGTAGGAGGACTGGCTTCTTAAAACATTTTTCTTCCAACAGACGTCGCCTAGTATCCTAATGACATAATAACAAGGATTTATGAGCAGAACACATAAAGCCCATTTTCCTATTGCACAGACTTTTAGTCCTACAAATCCTGTGTTATAATAAAATTTTATAATCAAAAAATATAAAGGAATTTATCTTACTGGTTAGTACACTGGACTTGGTGTAGATGGTTGTGTCATCAAATACTAGTTAAATCAGATTTGTTATTGCTTTCAAATGTAAATGCTATAGATTATTATTACTATTAACTAACTAACTAACTAGATGGCTTACCGACCCCGAAGGTTCATCACCGAATCAACCGGACCCTGTCCTGGGCCAACAAAATCCAGTCTCCCTCGACTCCTATCTCCCATAGATCCCGCCTGAGATTATCCTACCATCTACGTCTAGGTCTCCCCAGCGGTCTCTTCCCCTCAGGCTTCCCAACCAATACCCGGTGCACACATCTTGTCCCATCCATGCGCGCTACATGCCCCGCCCATCTCATTCTTCTCGACTTAATCACCCTGACAATACTGGGGGAGGAGTACAGATTTCTAAGCTCATCATTATGCAGTTTTCTCCATGCCCCATCGTCTTCTCTCCTAGGCCCAAATATCCTCCTCAACACCCTATTCTCAAACACCTACAATCTGTGTTCCTCCCTCAGAGTGAGAGACCATGTTTCACACCCATACAAAACAAAAGGCAAAATTATTGTTTTGTACACTTTAATTTTCAGGTTCTTAGAAAGCAGACGGGAAGACAAAATATTTTGAATTGAAAAGTAGCAAGCATTTCCGGAATTTAGTCTCCTCCTAACTTCCTCATGAGTGTCATTTTGATTTGTTATTGTTGTTCCCAGATATTTGAACTTTGTAACCCTTTCAAAGGATTTATTAGCCACCCTAAGATAATTCTGCCTGCCTGTCTGCTGACGACGAGATGCTAACACGTACTTAGTTTTTTCTGAATTTACTTCTAGCCCCACCTGTCTACTAGCCTCTAGTAAAACTTCTGAAATCCTCTTTATTGTATTCATATCGCCCCCCAATAAATTAACATCATCAGCAAATGCCAATAGCTGATGTGTCCCATTCAATTGCAAACCCTTTATTATTACTATTACCTACATTTTTAGGTGTTCTTTACACCCAAGGATGAGCAAAGAACACCTCATGTGCCAGTTTTTGTGTCTGTCTACAGGAACAGCATGGAACAACTTATGAGCTAGTGATGTAATTAGGAATGGATTTTATGTCACTGGGAGTACTCTAAAATGGTACTGGCTGACTGGATGGGGGAATGCACCAGGGAGTATTGGGTGTGATGCTAGGTGGGGAGAGAAGACGGGTATAACAGATCAACAGTGGAGAGTACTGGCCCATGTGGGGCAGAACCCCTTTCATGTGGTGGGGCCACAAACTGTAATGTGGCAGGTGAATTTACTGTAGTGGGCAAAGGGCAAGACAAGTGTAGATGAAAAAGCAATGTGAAAAAATAATACCCCATCTGGGGCAAAGTTGCTGGATTGGGCACAGCCCCCCAGGTGAGGTCTGTAACCTAAAAGTGATGGTGAGGCTTTTGATAGGGAGTCCCCATGGTGGGTGGGAACATGCAAGAAGGATGGGAGAGAGAGTTTTTGAGGATGGAGACTAACAGAAAGGGTCGAGCCCAATGAAGGGAGCACATGTCTTATGGGACGTGGTCCCCTGCTTTGTGGTGAACACAAGTGGGCCAGGTTAGGTTCAGTTATGATGGGTTAGATCAGGTTATGATAGTTGTGTTATGTTGGATTAGGGAGGTCAAGATAAAGTGGTAAGGTTGGTTAGGTAGTGTTGGGGTGGGGGTTGGGCTTAGTTACATTACACAAGTATGGGTTATTTTGATAAAGGTTGGATGCCCTTCACAAATGCGTTAAAGAGTTAAGCTCCATACGGGACAACAGGGTAGAATGCGTTATAAAAAATCCACTAATGTGATATGGGTTCAGCATTGCATGTTAGGTAATTACTTTATTAATGTTATCTAAGCCTGTTTGATGGGGCAGAGACCATAAGGGTGAGG